CACCTCCTCTCCTATCTCTAGCTTGGTCACAAAATTCTTTCTTCGTCTCCCATTTGCCAAATCATGGAAGAATCTAGTGTTCCCATCGCCTTCCTTAATCCACTTGTGTCTAGATTTTTGTCTCCAACTGATTTCTTCCCTCAATAACACCTCTTCCAAATCCTTTCATTCCCCCAACATATTATAGCCTGTTTCTTGGGCTAGATCATGAGACCTAACTATATAGTATACACATTAAAGACTGTAACTTTCTACCAATTTCCCATTGTGTTTTTATCAGTATTTTTCCTTTTCCATCTCCCTGTACACATTTTCAATCTCTTCTGACTGGACAACTACTCAACAAGGTCTTCTCATTTCTTTTGCTTCTGCTGAAAGCTTCTTCTTTCATGCTTATTTTGGTTGGCATGAGAAACATTTAATTGCTCACACAAAGTAAGATTCAATGAAAATTGCCATACTTGATATTCACAAACAGGATAACATTTAGAAATAATTACCAGAATTGTCATCTGTTTCTTGGATTAGGTCATGAGATCTAACTTTACACATTAAAGACTGTATAACTTTTTACCAAACAGGTTAACATTTAGAAATAATTACCAGAATCATCAGCCATGTCACCAAAAGAAGCATCCATTGCACTCTTGATCTTAAGAGTTTGTTGCAACTTATATTTCCACATGGAGCCAGAGCAAGAATTTCTACAGGACCATCAGATGGAAAATGTTAACAACAATAGTATGAATTATGACCATCAAGAAGTTAATGTCCTACTGACTTTCAATAGCCCCCTTCATATCAACTATACCTGTCCAAGTGTAGCAAAAATTTCATTTGTTCCTTAAACTTCCTTTTATAAGGATAAAGTGAAACCTGCCCACATGGTGCCCTTGTGTCTTGTCTAGGTAGGTGAAAACAAAATGTAGATGAATTACAAGTCAATCCGGCAACAGACATCTTCAAGAATAGTCAGGCACCCAATGTCAAAAATCTACTTCAAGATTCATCAAAGAAAAGAATAAAATAACTGCAACAGAAAAACAGACCTCATTAGTTTGAATCAAGTAAATAGCAACTTTATTCACCTAATTAAGTTGAATGGTACAATTATAGCAATAACCTAGGCAATGGCTTCACAGACGCCTTGACAAAACAAGGGATGGAGAAAGAAAACCTGTTTTGGGGTATAAGAGAAGCCCTTGATGTAAGCAGGTTTTGAACTAGCCATCCCAAACTCAGGGACGATGCCTTATTGTACAATGCACATAAACATTTTCTTACATTAATGAAAGCTGCTCAGTATGTTATTCATCAAAAATAAATAAATACTACTGAACTAACCCATTAACTTTCTGCTAGCATGTATAAGAATAAAAGGAAAGTAATTATATCCCAATTAAAGCACCCACTCCAGAATAAACTTAGGTAATGTACCTGTGAAACCAATCTCAATTTAGAAGCCCATGAAATACCTGAAATTACCTTCAACAGTTTTTTTTCTTTTTTTGGTATTCCATTGTACACATTAGTTGAGACTCAGGGTGCGCACAGAGCAGGATGCACATGAGACCCACTAGCCCGGCCATACCACAAAAAGCCTGCAGTTCCACAGGTTTAATTCTCACACTTCCTTTTTGGAGTGATGCCAAATGACCATCTCAACTATTGGGTCATCAGCATCTTTAACAGTTTAAGCTTAATACGATATAAACCTTAGAATGCCAAAAGTTCAGGCATTTCATTGCACCAAGCAATTGCCCCTTCCTGTCAATAAGGGCTATTACCAAATGATGGTCCCAGCTGTTCAGGGTCTTGGGAGAGGTAGACTGGATATGGACCTAAGCTTTGGCATTTTTGTGCACAAAGTGACCAGTGACCACACTCTGATTTGGATCCACATTCTCACGCTTGTCAGCTGGATATTTACTATTGTACTAAGCAATTAATCTCAATTCTCAGGCAGGACTTGTAAGACTGAAAATATGTCCATTACTCAAAATCAATATCTTCTACTTTGTAAATCACAAACTAATGCAGAACTCTTTCTTTCCTTTTCGGCCTTTCTTATGTTTCTTTTCCACTGTAATAACAAAACAGTATGAAAATCTTGTAACAACATAAGATGCTAGAAGGAATAGCCACAAAAACTCTGGATCATAATATTCTGTATTATGGAAGACTTGGTTTTTTTGGGAAAAAAAAATTGCATGTGATAATCAATTCTTTCACTAGAGGGGGAATTATAGAATACTTTTTTTCCAACATAGGGAGCCGAAGAATGGATCTAGGGAAATGTATTTAAAGAAGGTGGTGTAACTATAACATAAGGAGCACAAGGGGCACATGCATACCTAATGCACAAGTTATGTGGGAGAAAAATATTAGTACACAGGTTGAAAGCTCGAGTCCTGCATAGGCTAACTAGCTAAACTGCTTAAACCCTTAACAACATAGGTAAATCCAGTTGTCAAAATGTTGACCAGCCATTGACTAGTCAGCATAGTTGTCAAGGCGATGCCTAGGTGACAAGGCACCCTTGGAGGCTCGCCTTGCCTAATCGCCAAGCAGTTTTGTACTTTCTATTATAAAAAACTTTTTTATTCATTATTTTTCAAGATTATAAAATACATTATTAAACTAAGATATTCATTTTGTGTGCTTATATAATAATTTCCTTTTATTATTTTCTTATTTGTTATGTTTAATCAACACAAACATTGCTAAATGCTGTATTGAACCCTCAAAGACTTCAAAGCCTGAACCAATAAGTAAGGTAGAACTTAATATTTTGTCTAATCAACAAATTTTCTTCTTCCATATATAATATATTCCATACCTTCTACTTTTTCTTTTCTTCTTTTCCTATTACAAAAATAAGGGTTAAGCCCCTGTATTTTTTCAATTTTCTTTTCTTTCTTATTTTTCTTCTCATGAATATGTTGATTTTCTATACTTTAACATGAACTTCATACTTTTTTTATGAAAATTATGAATAATTATTAAGGAAATATGGTTATGGTACCTAGGGAACTACCCTAGGATCTATGTTTTATACATAAAAAAATCCATCGCCTAGGCTACTAGGCAACAAGGTGCCCCCTTGTCGCCTAGCCTCACCTTGGTGCCTTGAAAACTATGCTAGTCGATCAACTAGCCAATTGAGGGCCAGACCACCAAACCAACTACTTGACAACAAGTTGATGATGCTCGATGATGTGGTTGCCTAGGGTAATTAAGCATCAACTATCGACTAGTCAGCCAAAAGTCATTTTAAAGCTTTATCTATTTGTTTGGATCTCCAATAATTTGAAATAATATAGAATATGCCTACATTTTGTTATATTCACATATGTAATGGAACATGAATGGATAGCGGTATAGAAAATAGGAAAAAAAAAGAAACAAAACGAAAGAAGATAGTGGAGGTTTTCTTGAAGTTTCTTCCAATCAGCAGTATCAAATAATCAAAGCTGCTCTTTTTCTTTGGAAACATTTTCTTTATTTGGAAAAAAAAAAGACTATAGTCACTATACTAAATGTTCAATATCATTCTTTTCTTGCATAGTTGTAGTTTATATTGGCCTATGTTGTCAAGGCAACCCTAGGCGGGTGCCTAGGATATAAAGTGCTTTTGGAGGGTCACCTCACCCAAACGCCTACATATTTATATGTAACACACCACATAATATTTTTATATTTTTATTGTGTGCTATTAATAGTAGTACAGCAGATATTATTAGACTAAATTATCCATATTGTGGGTTTATAGTATTAATATAATTATTCTTATACTAGTTTCTTTTTATTATTTTCTTATTTGTTTGGTTCAATAGACACACAAGTCAATGGCATGGTCTTGAACCTTTTAAGACTTTAAAACCTGAATTGATAAGAAAGAAATAACTTCAATATTTTATCCAATTGACACACATGAACAATCAACAGGACTTCATCATCTTCTGCTTCCTAGGACCAAAACAAGGGCTCAACCCTTATGTTTTATATGTTTTCTATCCTATCTTATCTTTCTTCTCGTAAATATGTTAATTTCCTATTTTTTATATGGGATTTATACTAATTTAAGGGGGATTATGGTAATTATTAGTTAAAGATTACTACTTATTATTATGAAACATAGGGAACTATTAGGATTTATATTTTTTTTATTTTTAAAAACTCATTGCCTAGCTTCACCTTGGCACCTTGAAAACTATGATATTGACTTATATATTAGATTACACCAATATCTTAAATTTAAGGCATCATTTTTTTTATTGGATGGTACAGCACCTAGACACCGAGTAGTCATCACATCAACTAGAGAATCCTAAACAACTAGGTGGTGTTTGGTATGGCTTCCATTTATTTGTAAATGGTGCCATGTCATCACCAAATCAGCATTTGTCCCATCATGTTGATTCGTACGCATAGGTATTGATAAAAGTTGGTCTTGATTTATGTGTGCGCCAACCGTTGGGGAAGCTTCATTTTAATGCTTCCCCCAACGGTTAAGCATTTATTCACTGTTCCACTGATGTGGCATCTAGTTGTCCACAAATCCCGTAATAACGTTTACCAACCACTTTTTCTCGGTTTTGAAGACAAATCAAGTACAAACGTTTAGTTGCCAAACATATAGCTAGTCAGCTCTTAACCACACTAATAACACTGGGTAAAATATAGAAAATTACCTACTCAAATATCAAATCCAAGGGTTGTGAAGTACTGGAGTAAGGTGAACATGTGATAATATTCTATACAACTAAAATAATGCATTCTACAATCTAAAAGGACCTAAAAACAATAAGAATGCACAACATGTACTAAGTTAATTGGTCAATTAAACGCACTATTATACGAGAGTGGACACTTAAAAATCCACCAAACTACAGAGTAAGGCATGCTTCCTTGGCACTCTAACGAAATTGGTTGTTTTTCACTTCAAGAGATACGAAACAGTGAAACACTTGCAATATAAAATTACTCTTGTCAAAGAATTAATTTTGCACATCCTGTAAAAGGGAGAATTGCCTCCACTCTCCGGTCGATCCTAGAAAGGTAAAAAGAAAAAGAGGAATTACGGACCCAGCGGGGGTGGGGGTTGCTTGCGGTCGAAAGCCTTCAATGAAACATGGAAAATAGGGGGAAATGCCAGGAAAAGGGGAGGCCGAGAGGGGGAGGTGGGAATGCAGGACTGCTGCAGACAGGATAGCATAGCCCCTATTCGGCTGCAGCATCTGAGAATTTGCAAAAATAATAAAAAAGGAACATAAAAAAAAAGAAAACCAATATTTCCACGGAATCCAATCCCAAAACGACAGGAAGAAGAAGAATGAAAGAAAAGCACGCATACCTGTTCAGACTAGAGTTCAAGTGATTCAAGCTGTTCGCGTCGGCTTCAACCTCTTTCTCTTCTCAGTAGTTCTACTCTTACTTAAAGTTTGAATGTTCGAGTAGAAGCTAAGGCTGGTCAATCTCTCGGGTCTTTGGAGTTTCTCTCAATTTATAACTTCACCACGCTGGGATCGGTCATCTTTGAACCTAAACCCTGGCACGCCTTAAGGTTCTGTTTGGATTGAAAGAAAAGAAACGAAGAAAAAACTGAAAAAGAAAAAAAGGGAAAACCATAAAATAGGCGAACCAACCTCTCGCTTATGGGCTAATTGTACCGGGTTAGATCGGGTTGAGGTCAAACCTTAACCTAATCTAATAAGATGGCATTCGATTGGGTTGATCTGATTGGGTATAACTTCGCAAGTGGCTTATGATGTGAGAAAGTATGATTTCAGAAGAACTTTAACCAATCAAATCCCCCTCCCCTAGGGTGAATTTTGATGAATACCAATTGATAAGTTCATACTTTTATAGTTTATGATACCAATTGATTTGTTATATACACGCAAGACCCCAACTCTAACCCAATTCAAAGTTGAATTGTTCAATTTTTTCTAACCCTAACCTAACCTAAAGTTCAATTCAACCCAATCTAAATAGACATTTTTGGGTTAGGTTCAGGATAATCCATCTAAAATTTCAGCCTTAGCAAGAGAAATAAGAAATAAATTTAAAAAAGGGAAAATTCCCAATAGGTACCATGTACTTTAGGTCGAGTGCCAATTTAATACCCGAACTTTGAAACGCGACAATCTAGTATTCAAACTTTCATTTTGCGATAATTTAGTACCCGGCGTTAACTCACCGTCAGTTAGAAGACAAAAAGACCTAATTACCCATCAGCTATTTCGAGCAATGCATGAATTCCCGATCAAAATTACGAAAATGACCCATCAGCTATTTCGAGCAATGCATGGATTCCCGATCGAAAATACAAAAAATGACCCCTGCTATAATTTCTCTTCAAGTGGGAACCAATGTTCGCACTTGTAGTTATTGAGATTTCGAAAAGCAGCTCCCTCACGTCGGTGATGTCAAGCGAATGTGCCGCTAGAAAAGTTGGAATCGGTGCTCGAACGTAACGCCAAAAAAGTTGAAGTCGAAGAATCCAGTGCCATTGCCGGAGAAGACAACTCCTATTGTCATCGCTGGAACATTGTTGTGTTCCCTTTTTTACTCAACCATTGCTAGAGAAGACAACTTGTTATCGGCGCTGGAAGAGACAACCGTGGTATGTTTTTTTGCTATTGTTTTCTATCATTTTCTATGCTTTTTTAACTATCGTTATATTATATCGACTTTTCCTTGATTTTATTGCAAGATTTTTTAGGGTTTTGATTTTTTTAGGGTTTTTCATTCCATTAGTTGTGGACACATGGTTAGATATGTTTTGAAGTAGGGTTTAAGGCTTGTAGACATGGTTTGATACATCCGAGATGGATGAATGGCACATGTTTAGTAGGGTTTAATGCTATGCAGGGGGAATGTTTCCCTTCATTATATGATCGGTCATTGTTAATGGTGGTTCCCCACCTTGTCTACTAGGCATGCATTTGTCTTCATAGATAGAAAGTAAATGTACTTACTACACATGTAAAGTGGTTCCCCACTTTGTTGACTTGTTCTTAGCTGCCCAATCCCTGACAAGTGAAACACCCAAGCCCTGACCTGTGGATCAAACCATGGTTCAGCCATATGGTTCAGAAACATCGGGCAGAATTATATTTGAGACAATGGTTCAAACATGTGGTTTAAACCAATGGTTCAAAACCATGGTTTGACCATGGATATTATATTAGATTTTATAGTGTATTATATCATTTATTGTATTTATTTGCAAATGTATACTATTTTCATCCACCACGGTGGCGCATTCGTCGATTTACCACCACAAATCTACTATGGGGGTGATGTTACTGTGTGCAACAATGTTGATGGTGATTTACTTTCATCCAATGAGATAGTTGGCATATTGAAGGACTTGGGATACACCGATCATTGTCAAGTATGTTATAGAAAGCCAGGATACAACATTGATGATGGACTGGTCATGGTTAACAATGACAGAGATGTGTTGTCCATCTGTGCAGCACATGGAGTCGTGGCTCATATAAACCTTTATGTTATACATGAAGCACACAATAGTGGTGAGGATAATGATTAGCACAACATTCAGAAGGGTAATGATGCTAGCTTTTAAAGGCCTAGGACAGATGAGTATGATGACATCAACATCCCATTGGATGAAGATGATATTGGTGGTGATGGAGAATACAACAATGATCACGATGACCATTCCACACCACTAGAGAATGATGTTAGTGGTCTTAATGAAGCACAAAATGATCAGATTAATGAACTACATCCTCATTTTGTTGAATAAATGAATGTTCTCGGGCCGGAGTTGTTAAATGATTATCATCAACCGGAAGAGTTGCTTAGTCCACATGCCTCGGATGACAAGAGAGGTGCACAGTATGAGTCATTTATACCAGAGAAGTAGATGGATTCACCTAACTTATTGGTGGGGATGAGATTTGCCAATCCAACTACATTTAAGGAATCACTGGTTAACTTTGCCATCATACATGGCATACAATATGATTATGTGAAAAATAATAAAGATAAGGTCATGACAGTTTGTAAGTAAAAGCGTGATTGGAGGATTCATGCATCTTGGATGCAAGACCGAGAGTCTCCAAATCAAAACTTTCAATGACAAGTGTGAGTGTGCATGAGCATTGAGGAATGCCAAAATGTCATCGACATGGCTAGCCAATAAAGATAAGAACAAGTTTATTAATGATCTTGGCTGGAAAGCCCTTGCTTTATGCAATGTGACTCTAAGGGATTTTAGAGTTGATATTAGTAAGCGGCTATTTTATAGAGCCAAGAGAAAGGCAACTTTCCAGATTGAGGGGATACATAGTGAACAATTCAAGAGGTTGGTCTATCATGTCGTGCTGAATTCAAATCCGGGTAGCATTGTGAAGATTGGTTTCAAGGAAGGGGTCCCTGGACAATTTGAGAGGATGTTTATTTGTTTCAATGCAATAAAAGTTGGCTTTTTGGAGGGTTGTCGCCCATTCATAGGGCTTGACGGTTGTCACATGAAGCCACCTAACTTTGGCCATATCCTCTTGGACATTGCTTTAGATGGGAATAACTGCATATTCCCAATTGCATTTGCTGTAGTTGAATATGAGGGCAGGGAGTCGTGGACTTGGTTTTTCGATTTTGTTGTTTGATGCAATTGGAGGACCAGAGGAGCATGGTTGGACCTTTAATTTCTAATAGGCATAAGGTATTATACTAGTGCATTTATGTATTTTACATTTTATATGTGCATAAATACATATATATTAACATTCTTGGGTTTTTGTGTTATGTTGCAGGGACTTGTGGAAACTTTTGAGAGGTTGTTGTCGAGTTCTGAGCACCACTTTTGTGTGAGACATATGTATGCCAACTTTAAACTTCTTTTCAAGGGGAATGATCTAAGGGATTGTTTATGGGGGACTACTAGTGCATACACATCTACCGAGTTTGACTTGTACATGGATAAAATGAAATAATTGAACAAAGATGCTCATGACTGGTTGAGAGGGTGCCCCCGACATTGTGGTCCAGGTCAACCTTTGGACCAAGAGCCCACAGTGATGACATTTGTAATAACTTCATAGAGTCATTCAACAAATGGATATTAGATGCTCGTGCCAATCATATTATTACATTGGTGGAGGCTATCAGGAGGCATTTGATGTCTTTAGTCAGAGAAGACATCAACAACTCACAAATGACAATGGACCTGTTTGCCCCAATGTCAGGAAGAAGATACATTGGCTTGAAGAACATGCGCAAAACTATTTTCATGTATATGCTGGGAATTGGGCAGTTGTAAAATATCCTATTCAGATTATAACTTGTTTCTAAAACCTGAATGACATCCCTCCTTCCACATTTACAATCCTTTGGCTTGTATTTAAGATAACTAACATGTTGACTATTATTTGTTTATTGAGAAGATGAAATCCTTGCAAATAAAAACATAAAAACCACCAAAATATTCTATGAAACATGCAACTATAATAAAAAATTGTAATGATACAAAGTAGACAAAATATTCTTTACTTTTTTCTTGAGAAAACAAGCTTTCACCAACTAATCTACTATATTAAATAGTTCTGGTAAGATACAAATTTTGGTATGCAAAATCAAACATTTTGATCAATAGTTACAAAACTGAACCAAAATATATGGATTTTTCCCTAAAATTTCCCTTCCCAAAATCATAACATATGCTTCTGGGTTATTTTGTGGCAAAGAAACATTGATCAGAACTGAAATGGTTCCAGCGACGGCATTTGCTTGACAAGATTTTAGTTATTTTGTGCACATTTTTTGGCAAAACATTTTGAGCACAGTTTTGATCTAAAATGGTTCAGATCAGAACCACCTTTCGGTTTAGATTCTGTCGAAACATTTTCATATCAGAACCGTGAACCTTGGTCCCACCATCTTTGATGCCTCTGGCAAGATGGCTATAGATGGAGTCTGTGCACGGTTCTGGAGTGGAGTCCATATGAAAACTCCACCAAAACTGTGTGCAGTTCTAGAGATATTGGGGGAGTTGAGGGAGACAAATGTTAGGGGTGAAGCTTGCCACCTTTCTTCGTCGTTCCTCTCCTCTATCGTTTCTTCAACCAAGTTTGAAGAGAAAGGGATGGAATGGGCATGCTCAGAATGAAGAGGAAGGTCGGAGTTGAGTGAAATCTCCTCTCCTCTCTCATTCGTTCAACCCAGATTGAAGTCTAAAGGGGGAGTTGAGTGAAGTCTCCTCTCCTCTCTTGTTTGTTCAACCCAGATTGAAGAGAAAAGGGGATTAGGGAAAAGGGTAAAATGGTTTGTATTTTTCATAAAGGTTAGTTTTGGTATTTCGAAAATATTTAACATGCACCTGATATCACATGATTCTTCTAAATGACGGTGAGTTAACGTCAGGTACTAAATCGTCGCAAAATGAAAGTTCGGGTACTAGATTGTCGCGTTTTAAAGTTAGGGTACTAAATTGGCAATCAACCTAAAGTACAGGGTACCTATCGGGAATTTTCCCAAAAGAAAA